ACGGGGCTCTGAGTAACCTGATCTAGTTGAAGATGTCCCTGCCCATGGCAGGGGTTGGACTAGATGACCTTTAAAGGTCCCTTCCAAGCCAAACCATTCTATGATTCTGTGATTTGTTACTTGAAGGTAAACTAAAAACACCTGATGTGCTCCATGCATTTCTATATGTAGTTTTGAGGCAATTTGAACCCATAAGAAATTTTATTTATAGTTTTGGGGCTTCACTCTCAATGACATTAAAATGTTCCTCTGTGTCAGAGACACAAGCATAGGGCAGTCAGCAATGCATTTATTGTGGATCGGAATCAGTTTGATTGACTCAGATTGACACTTAATCAGAGTTTCAGGCCTTCGTCTTGCAGACACTTCTATCTAACTTACCTGATACTTATGCTTAGGGTCATGGGATGGTTCAGGGTGGAAGGGACCTCAGGAGGTCTCTAGGCCAACCTCCTGCTCAAAACAGGTCAGCTGTGAGGTCAAACAAGATTGCTCAGGGCTTTATCATATCAGGCCTTGAAAACCTCCAAGGATGGAGACTGCACAGTGTCTCTGGGCAGCCTGTTCTCCTGCCTTACTGGCCTCATAGTGAAAATGTTTTTCCTTATATCCAGTCTGAAGCTTCTTTTACTTTTAACTTCTGCCTTTTGTCTCTCGGCCTCCTACCACGCACCACTATGAACAGCCTGGCTCCAACTTTAAGCTCTAGCCAATTCTAGAAGTCTGACTTCCGTCAGTTTAATATCTTCTTTGGAAATCCTTCAATGTTTTGACATACAGAACCTGAACTTGTAAATGCAACTTTGCTTTGCTGTACTTGCATCAAAATTTACTTTGAAGATCACCCCTTGAAGACTTGCTCTTTCTGATGCTTGTTCTTTTGCTGGAATGTTCTTCTGAAAACTACTCCAGGTCCTAAAAAGCTTCTCACATGTTTAAAAAAATATATATATATTTGGGGGCAGTAGGCTAGTTGACAGTGCCCTGACTGTCATTCAGTGTATTTTACTGGGTCTTTATCAAGTGAGGTGACTCAGGTGACTGGCTTTTTTCCCTAAAATAATTAATTTAAAGAAAAACAGGTAAAGAAACTTGTTTAGCATGGTTAAACCACACCAAAAGCTTATGAAAAGAAATTATTTCTAGTATTTGTAATGAGCCAAAACTGAAGTTGCAAGAGCTGCTTTGCTGAAAATTTGCTGGAAGAGCACCCACCTCCTTGTGATATAGTGAAGATAAACATGAAGCCTGTCATCAAAATCAGGGATGTAATGCTTATTTTTATTAAGCACATCACTGCTGAAAGAGCTTTGCTTATGATTGAATCAGTTATCAGAAGTTTCTGTTAATTTGCAATAAATTTCATTCCCCAAACTTAGACTCTTTGAATGTTCTTTTATTTCTGTTTGTTTGAATGTCTGTTGAAGTTGCATTGACATTACTGAATAGGCCTTCGAAGGGCTTTAAATCAGGTTCTTAGATCTGTGGCTTAACTGAAAGGATTCTTGTAGCAAATTGAAAAATACAAAGTTATGGCCTATTTTTCCTTGCGCAGTTGGTTTTTTTTTTTTTCAGACCTCAGTCTACTTATGCATTTGACAATTTTTAGAAATGTCAGTGATCAAGCTACCTCCATCCTTGCCCTTTCCACCTCTATTTTCCATTACCAAAAGCAAATTCCTTCCATTTTTGTGGACCTGGGAGGTGGAATGTTGCAAGTTTCAAATTTAAACAGGAAAGGAAACGTGAGTAAATTATAAAGCATGTTTCATTCAGACCATAAAAGTCTTTGAAATGGGATAATTCCCTTTTGTGAGAATTTAGCTCTTTTAGACATAAGATGGTCCAAAAGAGGTCAAAGTGCAGAATGTGTTAAAATGCTCAGTACCATTTTACTCATTCAGAATTGTTCTGATGCGCTTTATGAAGAAACATATTAGCATCCTGTTCTTGTGTGTGGAGATCAGTTACTTCACGAAAAATAGATTTTTTTACTTCTAGTGCATGCTCGCAGACTACTCTTTGATGTTGTGACTTCTTGGCTTTTAGCTTCTAGAACAGAACACTGTTCATTCCTAAGCCTCTTCACTAAGTGCAATTGACTTATTGGTGGTTAATCTACATCCCAGCTGGTTAATCTACAAAGATTTTGATTCTAATCAGGAGTGGAACTGATCTTTTTCCTCTCGATTCTCAATTTATTCCCTTTCTCACCCCCCACCCCTTCTCTCTCTTTGTGTCTTTTTTTTTTAATTAAAGGAAACACCGAGGAGGCTGGAAGGCTACTGGGCAGCAAGAATGTCCGTGTCAATTGCTTGGATGAGGTACAGCGAAACTGTACAAGCATTATGCTGGGTTTAGCAAGGAAAATACTAGGTCTGAAGGCCTTCTTGTTGTTAAGTAACATTGCTATACAGACTCCTGGAAATCAGAGTTATTCTGAAGATATTTCTAGCCTGCAGCTGAATGATGAACCTTTGAAGCGCTTTTACTTTTTTTTAAGAAAGTTTAAAGATTAATGTTACTTAAAGTACTACACTGTTTGTATTTTCTCTCAAGCTCCTGCATGAACTTTGGTGTCTGTAAGGTAAGATGAACACTGCAGCAAGACACGTGGGGGGTGCTCCCTGACTTCTTGTCACCTCCACCAAACTGTAGTCCCTCTGCTTAGATAGCAGCAGATAGTGTGGATAAATAATGCCTGTCCCCATCTCACGCTTGCATCTCATCGCCCAAAGCCTTATCCTTGCAGAACAATAAACGTACTCAGTGAGCGGCTAGGTCAGAAGTGGAAAACACACAGTCTTTTGCAGAGACAGATGTGATAGACATGTAGAAGGTAAAATCCTTAAGTGCTACCTGAAATGGGAGGAAGTTCGTGGAGAAAGGACCCTTGTGTGATGTTTATATGTTTCCTCTTCTTTTTCTTTTTACAATGTTTTTCTAAAGCGTGCAACATTAATATGAAGAGTAACATGGAAGCAAAACTGTAATTGGCCAGCTTGCATGTTAGATCAATGTGTAATTTATCAATTTAAATGTCAATTTGTGTTTTTTTCCCAGCTTTATCATTTTGTAGGATCACTGGGAAATTCAGGCTAGAAGGGACCTCAGAAGGTCTCTCGTTCACCCTCCCACTCAAAGCAGCTTCAGCTCCGAGGTCACATGAGGTTGCTCTGAGCTTTATCCTGTCTGGCCTTGTAAACCTCCAAGGATGGAGACTGCACAATACTTCTGGGCAACTTATTCCACTGCCTTACTGTGCTTATGGTGAAAATGTTTTTTCCCTTATGTCTGAACCGCTATTTCAACTTCTCTCATTGTCTCTTGCTCTCCTGCCACCATAGCTGAAGAGTTTGGCTCTGTCTTCTCAGTGATCTTCCTGTAGGCACTGGCAGGCTGCTGTTGGGTCCCACCAAAGCCATCTCTTCTCCAGGCTGAACAAGCCCAGTTCCTGCAGCCTCTCTTCACTGCACAAGTGCTCAAGTTCCTACCATGTCTTGGTGGTACTCCACTGAACTCACTGCAGTTTATCCATGTCTTTGTTCTACTGGAAGGCCCAAAATTGGACAGGGTATTGTAGATGTGGTCTCATGAATGCTGAATAGAGGAAAATTATCACTTCATCTACTGGTTATCTTCCTGGAATGTTGTTAGCCTTTTTTGTGCTGCCAACAGATCCATTTTCTGATTGTTCTTAAATACAGTTAAATATTTAAACCTTAATTTCTAATGTATGAATTTCAACAAGCTTTGGACAAACTACTCAAACTAAGCTTTACAGTAAACTTTAGGAACACAAGGTTCAATGTAAGTGTGTTTGCAAGTGTGCTTTATTGTATGGACTTTAAAAGCTTTTCTTCTAGTGTAATTGCTGAACTAGTGCTGAACGACTGCACCCTTGATGCAGTATTAATGCAACATGCAGGATTACTGTTGAGAGGATATGGTTTATTAATAGAAAACATAACTCAGTTATGCCTCAGGCTATCGTTAAAGAAGAACAGTATTAACAATACTTGCCTAATGCTCACATCTGACTAAATACACCCAAGGCACATAAGGCTTAAAAAGTTCATGCAATGGACTTCTTGCAGTCTCCTTTTTACCCCCAAGAGTGTGTAATGATGCATATTGAACAGGAAAGGGTTCAGATTTGTTTAGGATTCTTAAACCATCAGTCATCTCATGTCAACTTTTAGAGTTTTTCTATTATAAACCATTTTCTCTCTAATGTGTTATTCTAATATCTATACATAAATAGAGTGTGTGAAACCCCTGTTAAACATTAGCTTCATCTGTTATTCAGCGTTGACACAACTGGAGGCTGCATCAGGTCTTATTTTCTTCTGCTGCTGCCTTAGCTGTTTATGCTGAAATTCACATTATTATTTATATTACTACTTATTTTATTAATGTTAAGAGGAAACAGCCCTGAAAATTGAATGCTTAGATATTGAAATGGGAGCACAATTCAGTTGGGAACTAAGAACTCATTTCCTTCCTTAAAGTCCTTTTTACATGAGAGAATCCACAGAATGAGCACAGGTTTAATGTAATTCTCTCTTCTATTTGTGGTACAGCAAACATGCAGTCACAATTTAATAATTTCCACAGGCTGGAGAATCCACAGCATCCAGAACATATTGCACTTCCTGATTTTAAAAAATAAACACATAAGATGTCCCTTTAATTTTTGGTTTGACCATATATTCTAACTGCTTAGATCTGCTTTTTTCTAGATTAAAAACTACTGACAATCAGCAATCTTTCCTCTATGTACCTTCAGACAAGGACCAAGTCACATTTTAATATCCTCCAAATGCATTCACTTTTTAAGTATCTTGCCTAAAGTTATGTTTCTTCAGTAACTGAGCTATAATCATGGCTCTTTTCCGAATCCTTTCCAGTTGTTTCAGCTTCTTCCTTCAAAAATGTAGGCATGAGCTGGACACAGTGTTTCAGCATTGCTTCTGCTGTTGTTACATGTATTTAAAAAATAAAAAAATCGCTCCTCTTAAGTCTATTTGCTTTTCCTGCCCATGTGCCAAGACTGACTCACCTTTCACCTCCTCCTATCTGCAGTGCTCTACCCAGAGCAGTAGGCCACTTGAAAGCAGAGTATTTATTCAAATTGGTTTCACAGATGCCCATCTTCCAGAAGTTTGTAGGTATCCAGCAGATACGGTCCTGGTTTTATCCAGCATCTTTTCTGACTGAATCAGGTTTTTTTGTTGTTGTTTCTTTGTGTATTTAGGTAGTCAAAGAAAGGAAGGGTATTTAAGCTTAATCACTGTCTTTATGAAAACAAAGAAATACATAACTCTTCCACAAAACTTGTCTTTAACAGTTTGACTCTGGCAAATTTAAAACTTCTGGGGCATTTAAGCTCAGGTGTGCCAAAATATTAGGACAAATAGATGGGCAATGGAAATGGATGCAAAATAAGCACAAATACATTTCATTTAAATGCACACTGCTTAGTTATTTTTTGTCCTATTTTAGTTGGAGTGGTTGCTAATTTGGAAACGTAGTATGGAAGAAAATGTTCAGGAATTTCTTTTCCCTGGGAGTACAGAGCTTGTAAATAGTGTTGTGACTTCACGTTGGCAATTTGCTGACTTCAACTCCACCCATTTGCAGGGTGTGGCTAAGATCTTTCCTTATTATTTCATCTTATTACGGAAAGGCAGTCTAGAGGAAGTGCATGGGATTTCTAGCCGTGGAATTTTCCTCCAGTCATGTTGGTAGTTAAGGTTGCAAAGGAGCAGTGTAGTACTACAATCCCATATTTTCTGCAGATCAAGCAGAGAGACTTGACCTGAAAAGGCTTCACGGTTTTTCTGTATTTAAAATAATATTAAGGTCGTTCATAATCTTCTTATATACAGAACTATCATAACTATCATTTGGCATTAGCAGCATTACTTTTTTCCTCTAGTTTGGTAATTCAGCTGTTCACTTCTGTAATAAAATACATCTTTTGGAAACAGTCCGCTTCCATATGCTAATTACAGAACTGAATACTTTCTGGGAATTACAGCAGCAGCCTGCTTATTAGTGTATGAGATGTGTAGCTTTACTTGTACTGATTATGTTCAATGGAGGGTTCTTCAGTTAATCTGTCTTGCTATTCCAGTATGAACTTCCTATGCTAGCAGAAAATGCCCAGATCCTTGGCCTTTATTGAGGAGAAAGAGTTCTGTCTTTTGATGTTTTTTTACATAGTATTTCAAAATACACAAACCAGAGAAAATTCAACAGCTATGAAGAATTATCTGGTTTCAGTTGAGGTCGCTGACTGATGCAGACTTCAACTTTTCATCGCTGCAGATGAATAGAAAGATCATCAGAGAAATCTAATGTGTTACATATGTGAAACCAACAGCTCAGCAGGATGACTATAAAGGAGGAGAACTATAGCTATGATCGACATCTAAACTCACTGAACAGTAGTTCATATTCTAATTAGTTCATACTTGGCTATAGCTAAAATTACTTGTGCATGTATCTGTTGACTACCTTCCAAATCCAGCTTACAGTAAGTTTAAGATAGGTAAGGGCAACCTTACTCAAAAGCTTTAAGGGTGAAATTTCTAAAGGCTTTCATCCAGTGAATATTCAAGTCGTGTTTCTAGACTAGCAGCATTCAGTACCATTTCTGTTAGAAGTCAGAGACATTTTTGCAATCCAGTTCGAAATACCTACCTGAACTAGTCTTAATGAGTTGGTCTGATTTCAGTAGTGCTCCTCCTTTTTATTTAGGAGAGTTGATTTTGAAGACATTCCTCAACTAGTATTTCTGTGTTCCCTGTGACACCTGCTCTTGTTGCATCCTATTTTTCCTTTTTAGTAACTTCCCAAATATTGTCTCAAATAAAAGCCAAACCTCCAGTCTATGTGTTTAGTTTGTAATTTTCTGAATGAATACAACTGGTATAGTTGCCTGAATCTAAAGAATAAAATAAGGCACTTTTTCCACGTTAATGTGGGGCTGGGTTCCTCATTGCAAAATGAGCTGGGAAAGGGAGAGGTGGATGCTTTAACAGTGTCAGCACACAAGTGTCTACGACAGTTGTTCAGCTAGGGTTTTTACAGTCTTTTGGTTTTGTTTTTTCTTTTCTTTTCTGGTTCTATTTACCCAAATCACCTCTGACTTAAACTCCAGTTAGGTAGCTAGTGTTCACACATGCAGTGTCATAGTGTACCCCAATACCTGCTGAGGGAGCCGCTCCAGTGTGATCCAGTCCATGTGTGCCATCTTGGCCATGTTTCCACCGTTGAGTAGAAGGGTGAAGTGAGCATGAGAAGTGTAAAACACTGGGAATGTTAGGACCACTTGGATTCCTCTTTTCTCGTGAGTAACATGAGTCTGTGTGGCTACTTCAGTAGCAAATCGTCAAGTGTGTTATCCACAAAACAATGGCTTTTAAAAATATACATGTATCATGTCTGTGTTCTTACACAGTCAGCATGAGTGTTTAAATGCTTGCAACATAGTCAGTTTTTCTGCCAAATGTGCACAGGTCACTGGGATGCAAGATGGTCTGTGTATTTTTTTTGTTTGTCCCAACTCTTGCTCCCTGGCCATCCCCTGCTCCCCAATTCTTCTGGACAACGAAGGTTGAGAAACAGTGTTGTTGAAAACTTCCTCCGTAGTTCCTAGAAGGCAGAAGGTTGCTTTTCCAGTTTATTATCTTTATAAATTTGTTTTTATTCATCCTGTGGAAGCACACCACTCCCAGGTGCTGAAGAGAGAGAGACTGACCTCCTTTCTTCTTCCCCCACTTCTGGCGGTGGAGTCCAACCCCTCCCTCGTTCTGGTACTCATCTGCCCCTCCTGCCTCCCTACACATCCTTTTCTTCCCTTGTCAGCTGATTCAGCCCACTGACCCTGCGGTAGTATTTTTTTCTTCTTCAGTTGGCTCCCCCACCATGGCAGCATTAGGTCAGCTTAGCTTTTGGAATCCCATCCCTCAGTCTGCTTCTGGTGTATTTTCAACATCAGGAACTGGGAAGGGTGGTGTGTAATGGCTGGGCTGGCTGGGCCATGAGGCATAGACCCGTTGTGCCGGGGAGTCCTTGTTGGTTGATGAGCTGAAGAACCTAGTCAAGGGAGGTGCCAAGCAATTTCTAGAGGCACTGCAAACTCTATTCCCCGTGTACAGTCAGACATACAGGGAATACTTAACAGCCCTGCAGAAGGCAGGAGATGTTAATTTTGCTCCCTGTAAATCATGTAATGTCCCTGCAAAGTAAACAGAACTGGAAAAGATTCATTTTTGTCCTAGGGAATGAGGTTAAAAGACTGGATTTTTCGTCAGAAGAATGTTACATAGTAGCTGCTAGAAAATGAATTCTTCATCCTATGTTCCATACTGGAACAGTAAATAATTTGTTTCATCTGTATGCTTAATAAACTGTCTGCTAGCTTAGTCTTTTAAGTCTGTTGTATTGACAATCCAAATGTCATCTGTCAGAAAACAAACTGTTACTGGAGCTGTCTTTGATATTCAGCCCGAGAAGAGTATTTGCAGTCATTTCAGTTTCTGCATAGGAACATAATACAGGATACCAAGCTTTTCCAGCTAAGCTTGTGTCTAGCCTGTCCCTTTTTTGTTTGCTGTGAATGTGAAAGGCTGATATTAGTGTGACTTTAAAGCCAATTTTCTAACAACTGTCCACGTTTTCTGCTTGATATGGTTTTTTTTATCCACCCCACAGCCTGACACTTTCAAAATTTAATCAAAGGCTTTTAAAAAAAGTTTCCCAGGAGAGGGGGATGACAAAAAAACCCAACTCAACGCTTTCCTTTGTCCTAGAATCCTCAGACAGATTTTTTTAATTGAAACAACTGGCATTCAAGATATAATCAAACTTAAAGTCATTGTTTTCTTAAAAGTTCCTTCTCCAGTCAAAAACCTTATGGTGTTCATTCATATCCCCTTACAGCAGTACTTTTCTGCACTGCTAAAGGAGGCAAATCTATACTAGGACTCCAGACTGGGATTGGCCCATAAAAATTGCTGTCAATATAACATAATATAACATAATATAGCATAATATAACATTTTATATATTAGGATAGAAAGCCTTTACTTAGCTTTATAGGACCACAAATGAAACCTAGCAAAAACAATGGCAAATTGGTTTCATGTTTGTGAAGTGATCTCTTCAGGTCTTTTGTTTCTTTAATGACAGTTTATATTGCAGTTTACCAAAATATTTCAGGTTACTAAAATATAGTGCATCAAGTAATAATTTTTTATTGTTTTCAGTTAGGATGGGGAATAATGAAAATATAATAACTTAAAAATTATTATAACTTTAACTTTCCCAGTTTCTCTCACTTTTAGGAGGGAATTTTTGAAATTTATATTTTTGAAAATTATACTGATAAATTTAACTCAATTGGGTTTTATTCTATCATAAATTGAAACAAGAAATATATTAAGGCTCAAACTGACAATTACATTATTTCAGAGTATCACATTACCATGCGTTTACAGAGCTGCAGTAATGGTGTACATGAGTGTATTCATGCACACGGCCTTAACCTGCAAAAAAAAGGAAGAAAATGCAATTTTGATTTCCTTCACAGACAGACTAAGGAACACACCCTTGTATTCAGTGTTGGAGAATGTTCTTGGGCAAGTACTATGTCTTGGCTGATAACATGATTCCTGACTTGATGTTAAGTGAAAATAAACAGCGTATTGGAAAAGGCATATCAAATTCTAAAAATGGAATGTCATGAAATTTTCTCAAACAGAACTGTGCTTCTCCCTTCCCTTTTTAGAGGGAGAGAGCCTGCACTAACAATTCACCCTAGTTCTGAAAATTTCCCCTAGGGTTTGCCCAGGTTTGCATTTATAATTACACCAGTGCAACTCTAATAAAAACTCAGTGCCTCCCTTGCTGAAGCTAATCCTTTTTGTTCTGGTGCAGTTTATCAAAAGGCAAGGTTTGAGACTGTGTGGTTGCTAAAGTCTAGCTAGAGCTGTGTATCCTTACACAGGCATTCAGAGCTCTGGCTGATGTAAGATCACAGACACAATACCAAAAGGGTGGATAAGTGGGAGAGAGGAGGATAGCACAATTACCAGTAATCGTGACTAAAAGTGAGCAAGATGGGTTTCAGAAACTGCAAATCTTTGTAATGGCAAAAACAGCAAGAGCCTATTCCTAATTTTCTTGTTGCTTATCATATAATGCAGGGGAGAAAAGAAATAACTTAGGAACCTAACAAATTTTCTCAAACAAGCTTTTCCCGCTAGCAGAAGCATTAGTTGTCTTTAACACTAATGTCTTGTACAAAAGGCCAATGACAAATCGGCAGTAAATGGTTTTCATTTATTCAACACTGGTCTGTTTTCAAATACATAGCACAGCATAATCAGAAAAGTGACATGGAAGTGGAAAATCTACTGCAAGTTGGTAACCATATTTTTTCAGGAAGATTTTGTGAACTTTGTTGTTGTTGCTAACTTAAATATTATGTGAGGCTTTGGTAGTTATACTGAGTATGTATGTACAAGTAAAAGTTATCAGTGGTATGAAGATCAAGAGATATAACTAATTCTTTGTTGTACGCTACTTCTTTCTTTTGTTAGCATGGCATGACCCCTCTAATGCATGCAGCGTACAAAGGGAAAATAGACATGTGCAGGCTGCTCTTGCGACATGGGGCTGATGTTAACTGCAATGAACATGAGCATGGATATACTGCCTTGATGTTTGCTGGACTTTCAGGTAACTTCTTACTAAACTTAGCTCACTGATTTTTATGACATCGATAGGTACGATTTGCTATAAATTAATTATTTAAAGAAAATGTCAACACCTTTCTATTACTCAGGTTTACTGTTACTTACGTGAGCCATGTGAATATGTCAAGACCAGTAGAATCATCAGGACAGTGGAACAGGATAGCTACTGTTCAGGCTTGGGATCCTTTTTCATATAAAAATTGACTTTGTTGAGTATTTTGAAGCATATAGTCTATCTGTACTTCGTCGTGTTTGTCAGATCTCAAAATTCAGTCTCCTGAGACTGTTTCCGTGTGCAGTGGGATACGTTCTGTTTAATTATACTGTGTTACACTGAAAAAGATGCTGCACCAAACTGCCTTTTTTTAGGACTACAAATCAGTAGCTTTTATTAATATTTGAGGCTTGTCAAATCAATCCAGTATTTTTCAAATTTTGCCTTTCTCCTACATTATTTTTGCCATTATCTTGTGGACTTTTAAAAATGTATTTAGTAAGTTTTAAAAACATGTTTTCTCACATTAATTTTCCCTCTCACCTTACTTTTTTTTCATGAGAGTGCTTATAGCTGTATGTATCTTCCCTGTTTCAAGTGGTGGTTTGCAGCCTTCCTCTTGCTATTCTTTTTCCCCAATGAAAGGAATAATTATTTCCTTGAGTGAGAAGAAGACATTACATAAAAAGCATTGTTCCTTCTGGGAAAAAGACTAGATTTGGGAATATTAGGTTATTTTAAGTATCTTCTACTAGGCCACTTACGTCTTCCCAAAAAGGAGATTCTAGGGAAGTAAGATTTCTTAGCAGGTAGAGTTTAAACTCTGCCTTCTTTCATCGTAAGTATGAAAAAAGAAAGGCATATGTGTGTATATGAACCTTAACTGGATCATTGGATTGCTTTTCTGCTAAAACTTTGGTAAAAAGATTTGGGAAATTTCAGCATTCTGTGGCACTGAGTAATGTCAGAGCTGCAGCAGATAGATAGGAACAAACTCTTAGAGGTTGTTAAATTACTGCAGCTTCATGGAAAATGCTGGATTTTTACCGTTTTCTCACAGCTGACCTTTTAAGCTGTCATCCTGGGCTTGAATGCTTCTGAATGTTGACTTTAAGGTCAGTTACCTGTGAGTGCAAAAGGTACATGAGCACTACTGACATGATGCCTTTGTTTTTAAATCAGAAACATTCATTTCCATCCACCACTCCCTTCTTCTTTTATATTTGCTTTTCTGTACTTAGCATATGCACAAAAACTGATAAAGAAAGAATACCTTTGAAAGCAGAACCAGCATGAGTGGTGACAAGTGTCCTTATTAGTCTCTGAAGGGCACCAATTAAGTCATCTAATCTTCCCATCAAATTTTAGCTTCATTTTACTTGGGTTTTAGCCCAGTCTGAACACCCAGTTCCCACTGCGCGAAAGGAACAATCTGTTCCCTTCTCTATGCTCCTGCTACATAATAGTACTGGATTTGTTTTTCTTCTTAGAATAGCAAATGTTGTAGTTGAACTGTCAAACTAGATTAGTAGAATTTGCTCCTATACTGCTATCTAGAGGGACCAAGCTCTAGTGTAGTTATATGCATATGACTCCCATAAGCTCCACACTGTGCATTACAGACAGCAGAGCTGTACCCTGCCTGAATTTAGTTTTTACTTTGATTTGACCTTCTGGAACCATAAATAAGGAGGCAGCACTGTGCCTTTCTTTTAATCCATTCTTAAAATAATGACATTAAGAACATTCATTTCCCTCAGTGTTATTCCTGGTCTATAAGAAATTCACTCCTTGTTTTTCTACAACATAAAGAATTACAAGTTCTGGTTTGTTCTCTCTCATTCCCCATATCTTCCCCCCAAATTCAGGAAACAAAGAAATCACCTGGATGATGTTAGATGCTGGAGCAGAGACTGATGTTGTCAACTCTGTGGGAAGGACAGCAGCTCAGATGGCTGCTTTTGTGGGTAAGGTGAAAGTCTATTATCATTTCTTAAACTCCTAAAGAAGTAAAATGTTAGATTCTGCTGCTTTTTATTGGAAAAACATTATTTAATGACCTGTTCTGAATGGACACAGTTGTTCAGCTTTTTTTCCACATCTCATCCTATAACAGAGTCAATTTGTGTTCTATTCCCGTGCTTTGTTTCATAAAAGCACAAATGATCTTATCTGTAAGAATAGATGCTGCTGTTCTCCAGGTGTGCAAGGTTTTGCAATATCATCTCTTTGCAAATAGTAAGAGTGTCGTGGTTTAACCTCACCCGGCAACTAAGCACCACACAGCCACTCGCTCACTCCCCCCTGGTGGGATGGGGGAGAGAATCGGAAGGGTAAAAGTGAGAAAACTCATGGGTTGAGATAAAGACAGCTTAATAGGTAAAGCAAAAGCTGCGCACGCAAGCAAAGCAAAACAAGGAATTCATTCACTGCTTCCCATCGGCAGGCAGGTGTTCAGCCATCTCCAGGAAAGCAGGGCTCCATCACGCGTAACGGTTACTTGGGAAGACAAATGCCATCGCTCCGAACGTCCCCCCCTTCCTTCTTCTTCCCCCAGCTTTATATACTGAGCATGACGTCACATGGTATGGAATATCCCTTTGGCCAGTTGGGGTCAGCTGTCCTGGCTGTGCCCCCTCCCAGCTTCTTGTGCACCTCCAGCCTTCTCAGTCGGTAGAGCATGGGAAGCTGAAAAGTCCTTGACTAGTGTAAACGCTGTCTAGCAACAACTAAAACATCAGTGTGTTATCAACATTGTTCTCACCCTAAATCCAAAACACAGCACTGTACCAGCTACTAGGAAGGAAATTAACTCTATCCCTGCCGAAACCAGGACAAAGAGGAAGCTGGTAACATCTGAGGTGTCTGAAGTGCCGGTACGTGCTTCTGCAGTACAGAGTGCATAATTGGAGCTTCCTTTGTGGGAGGGAACAGACGTAGCGCTAGGAGTCAGGAACTCTCATCTGAGCTTTGCCTTGAGCATGCTGTGTGCTGGCGGTGAGTCACCTCCTGCCCTTCTCCCTCTGCATGTGGAAGAGGGAGAAGTCTTGGAACCTGTTCTGACGTAGTCAGTACTTATTGACCTGAACTTAACTAGAACAAGATAAAAGATTTGTCATTCCAGTGTGCTGTGTGATCCTGGGCAAAACATGGAACCAGGCTTTTTTCTGTCATGTTTCTTTTTCTTGTCTTTTTTTTCTAAACCCTTTCTACTTCTTTACCCATCTTGACAGTGCTGGGAGATTCCTGCATTAATATCCCCAAATATACCACTTTTTCTCTATTTCTAGCAAGGATGGGTGATAAAATATTACCAGGAAAAGTGGAGTCATTTTAATGACTCAGCTATTGCTGTCCAGATGACCTTCCCAACAACCAAAGTGAGGACCTGTATTTTCACTTCAACACAACCGTCTCGTATTGTTTAAGTGTCCGAGAACACTCTTGCAAGTCCGTTAGGTGTTCTGGATTCAGGAGCCTACCTTGCCATTTAGATTTACTTCCTTGAATAGTGAGTTAGTGCAGTTTCAATTCAATCATACCTCATTCTCGTCTTTTAAAGAGGAAAAGATTGACATTGCTCACTTGAGGTTCAAGCAGCAAAGCCTTAACTATTCAGTTAATATGTCAGAGAAGTCCACTCCTATTAATTATACTTTTGATTTGGAGAGTCTTTTCCAATGTGATGCTGAATTGAGTTATTAGCGAGTGGGGAATGTTATCTCCAACATAATTTTGGAGAATTCTTGTTTAAAATCTCATCACGTCACCAAGGTAGAATAAATATTTTCAGGCATACTGAGATATGCTACTCTGTAAAAGTCTGACCGTTGGAATCCATTCCTGTTCTTTTTTATTCTCTGTCCAATCACTATTAATTCATCTGTCTGTGTGTGGGAAGTAGGGATACTTCTTCCTCTGTCATTTGTCTTACACTGTGCTCTATTAGCTTAGAAGAGTCTCTTTCAAAACAGTGGAGGGTTTTAAATGCTGGAATTTGGTTGGCTGTGTCTTCTACTGATTAATAGGATTAGTGCCAAGATAAATCAGTCAATTTAAAGAATGTGATCCTGAACTAGAGAAGCTAAATTTTACTTTCCCTTTAGCCAAGTAATCCATCATTTTGTCAGATGTAGAAAACAAGAAGGGGGTGTAACTTCTCTCATCTTGTTGCTTTCATCACAGTCCTTTTTTTGGTAAATTTTAAGCATGTTCTGTTCTTGTAATTTCTCCTGCTTTAGGTTAATAAAGTACTATCTGTTTCAGGTCTGAAAACTTACAAGTCCCAGTGCAAATGTCATTAATTTTTGAAAGTACAAAGTGGAGAGAACTTTTCTTGACAAATTTTAACACCAGTGTGACACTACTAGTATAGTATAACTTTGGGGAGAAATACCTGTTCTCTTAGTTTTGGCTTACCAGGGAAGGAGGATGCGGGAAGGGGATGGAGTTCTCAACATGAAGTTTCAAGAAGTCATTCCCTGCTGGGAGTCAGTAAGTTACACTTACTGAATGTAAAAGTATGGCAAGAGTTGCCTGTTACCGGTGCAAAGCTCCGGTGTGGGTAATTCTCACCTGTATTGCTTATATTAGATTTGGTTTTAGATCTCTTTTTTTGTTATTATTTCATTTCATTGGTGATTTTTTTTTCTTGTGTGTCTCTAGGTCAACATGACTGTGTGACCGTCATCAACAACTTCTTTCCACGTGAAAGGCTGGACTACTATACTAAACCACAAGGCTTAGATAAAGAACCAAAGCTGCCAGTAAAATTAGCTGGGCCTCTACATAAAATTATTACTACTACTAACATGCATCCTGTTAAGGTGGAGTAATATGTAAATTGTATGCGTTTGTGGGCATGGGAACTGTTTCTTTATGTCAGAAAGCATTCAACTCTTCAGAGTCCGATTGAGATCAAAAGCATTATCCATTAATTTAGACACTTCTGAAAATGAGAAAGAATGGGGCTCAACGTTTAGACATGACTAAAAAATGAAGCTATTTCAGTGTTTATATACACCAGAATCTTGAGCTAAACCTTTAAGTGCAGAGATTCTTATTTTTTGCATCAATAACCATAAATAGCTTTCTTTTTTTCCTAGCCCCACTTGAAGTGGAAACATAAAACAATTTCCTATCTTAACAAAATCTCGTTGTTCTCTCAATACTTGTCTCAGCATGCATCTTCCTACCTTCATCACTGGTTCACCATAGCAACATCTACTGCTGCTGCTGTTTCTGAAAGTATGGGCAAGAGATGTTTATTTTTACTTCTCAGCATATTTGCTGAAAATAGTGTCTTTTCTGGTTTGCTCTTCCAGTGTAGTTCAGAGAAATTAATACACCTAAATTCAAAGACAAGTTCCTGGGGCTTGCCGTTCAAAGTCAGGAATTTGCCAACAGTGGCCAGCCAGGTATCTGTGGTACATACAAACAGTAATGCACCAGTGGCAGCGAATTTAGTGAGTAGAATATACAGTTTCCTCTTAAAATGGTCAGTTCAGTGCTCTACTAGTCTACCTGAAGTACTCCAAGATGTGAGGTTGATGTGTTCTGTGAAACTGCTTGAATCATACAAGTCCAGTTTATTTTAGGTGTTCAAAAGGAAAGAGATTTTAGGACAGTGTATGGTAGTTTCTGTAACTGTTTCTTTTGAACTGGTTTTGATTCTTCAGGTTCTTATTCTGGAAAAATCAGTATTATTTTTAATACCGGTCTTAATTTTGAATGTTCCTTTTATGGGAACTGTGAATTACAGTATACTAAATAGTAATACTAAGTAATGACTGAAAAAAGAAGGGGAAGACCGCATAAGGCGGAAGTAGAGGAATATTAGAAACTCCATTGAAATTTAGCTACAATGAGCTATATAACCTTTAATGCTAATGTACAAATTTAAAAATACTAGTTCCTAATTGGATTACATTTTTGTCAATCTTTCTCATAGATTGTGTTGCTGGTAAAAGAGAACCCTCTATTGGCCGAAGTAGAAGCACTGCAGAGATGTTATAGGGTTCTGGATCTAATTTGTGAGAAATGTATGAAGCAGAAAGATATGAATGAAGTACTTGCTATGAAAATGCACTACATCAGTTGCATCTTCCAGAAATGTATTACATTCTTAAAAGAGCGAGAGGATAAACTAGATGGATTTATCAAAAGGTACGTATTTCTACAGAAAGGTCTGAAGGCATATGTATGAACCAGCTTTACAGATATCAGAAAAAGACAACTGTAATAATAGATTGGATTGTCTTGGATAAAGGCTATGCCAAGTTTTGAATTTTGAAATAATCCCAGTTGCGGTCACTTCAGGGTGGCACTGACGCCCTTTTTTCTGTCTGAAGTGGCATTGTCCTTTTCTGGGGTACAAAGGAAACATTCCTAGAGTTTCAGCTCCCTGCTGGAACTGGTTAGAGCTTGGCAATCAGACATACACTATGAAACAGCAGAGAGCAACATGTGGTGGAGAAAAAGGGGAGTGATGGGCTTGAAAAAATAATTTCTCAATGTCCAATATGGATCATCTGGGAACATTTCTCTTGCCATTTTGCTCTCCAGCAGTCATACAGGGTGAGATTTTTTTTCAAAAACACTTAAGCAACCAAGAACTGCAAATCCCACTGGCTCTGGATGAGACTTGGACTCTTAAATCGCTTAGACCTTCAGAACCTGCTCAGAGTTACAAAACCAGCTGCCTGATCTTAAGTATCAAAGTAAATGGCCTGGTTTTTAGAAGGATCACATTCCCCATAGACCTCCATGGATTTCTACATGCTGCTGAAAATAAATTATGAAGTCAGCTTTCACATACTGAAATCAAATAGTTCATCAGTGATCCATATAAAAAAGTAGGAGCCAACCAGATAAATATAGAAGCATCAGTACTATAACACGTTATTAAACATAAGTAAAGCAGAATTTGTATTTTAAAGTATTGTATGTTCTTCAGTGCTATTTTTACAATGCTCATTTTTAAACACAACAAAGCATTTTGCTACTTCAGTCTGATGTAGATACTAGTCTACCTGTAGATGATTATTTTTCTCTGGGTGGCTGAATGAGTAAGTAGTGGTTTCAGAGCATACATTTAGTTATTTTCTATTTCATAATGATTGTGCATTTGAATAAAAATAATTTAATTTGCATTTTAAACACTTGCATTTGAAGTTGTTGAATTATTTTAAATTATAATTCTTCTCTATAATTTGAAAAAGGACAGTCAGGAGGACAGCGTACAGCATGCTGTGTATTTGTTCTTGAACATTTACTATGTGATTTCTTATTTTACTTCGGTTTTAAAAAATTCAGTCTCTTGAAAGGGAGAGATAAAGATGGTTTCCCTGTATATCAAGAGAAGCTAATTCGAGAAAGTATCCGAAAGTTTCCTTACTGTGAAGCTACGTTGCTCCAGCAGCTCGTGAGAAGTATTGCTCCTGTTGAAATAGTAAGTTTTTCCTGTCAAGAAAATACTTTCTAAGCAACTTGCATAGTAAATTCAGTTTAAACTAAGCCAGCCATCTTTCTGATTCTCAGCTTCTGCAATGTATTATATTAAGCAAAGGTTTTTGAATGTCCCTGAACTCTCGGCAGACTGGAATTTTATTTTACATATTGCAGGAAAATGCTCTAAAATACATCAACTAGTAGGTTTTTTTCCTATGCCCATAATGAATGCTTAAATACCTCAGCTTTTAAAGAAGACTGGAACAGTTTGTTTCTGTGTCAGCGCTTTCTTTTCCTACTCTGGGATGTCTATTCAGTTTTTCTTTGCCAATTTGCTTTTACAAATTGTAGATTCAGACACAGATGAAACCCATTTTGTGCTCTTTTTTCACAATGTCTAAATTCAATTTAAGATCAAATAATTTCCTAGATTTAATGCATTTCTAGTGTACACAAAAAGTTGGTAATATATGGTGGTAGAGTAAGGGAAAACATTCTGTGAAGCTCCTTTTATCACAGGGAGAGGCAAGATGATGCAATATAGAGTAAAATGTGTATCTAAAGTAGGAAATCAAAATTAGAAGAAAAAATCTAACTTCAGTTTTCCTCATACATCTTTGCTAACACACTCTTTATTATAGTACTATTAATTAGTTCATAATAAATCGTACACAAGAGTTGTTACTCTTTTTTAAGAACGTTCTCTCTGGTCTCTGAGAGCTAGATGTTATGTGCACTAACACTGGGGAAGTGGAACAATTCTGTGACACGTTTGGATTATGCTGAGCGAATTAAAAATAGCCTCCATCTTAAGTGGCTCCAGTCTACTAAAGTGTCCTGAGGCTTAATGCAATCCCTACTGTTTGTCTAAGCCAGAAAAATAAACACAGTGTGAAAACATAAGCCATCATGATGCATTAAGACTTGCTTTAGAGTAAACATTTTCCTTCCTGTCCCTTTTTTCTTAGAAGAGCTTGCAGTCTTTTCTGCCTTCTCCCTTTAAAGAAATACAGTTTGTTGCATTGGATTTCTGTCCATTATGCAGAACTGGGAAGGAGGAGATGCTATAAATTTTTAATTGTCTGGGAGGCCATGACCTTTGGCATGCACAATTACTTGGATTCAGTCTGGGCATCTCAGCATTGCCGTAGTAGTTATGATTGTGCATATTCCATGATAGACTAACAGTTTAAGGATTTACTCAGAGCTGGAGCAACTTGGCATGTTTTTCCTCTAGTGTTTATATCATTGCCCAAAAGAATAGTTGTAATTTATGGTTACCAGTAAAATATACTAAATCTTACTGCTTGTATTGCATGGGAAAGATACTGCAAATAATATCTAAATAATAATATGCAAATAATTGTTTTGAAGATTCCAAGTTCTGACCATTTGGTCTGTAGTATCTGAGTACACTGAGCACAACAGTATTTCAGTGACAAGCAAAATATCTTTCTGTGTGCCAGCACAGAGACTAAGCTGCAAAAACCTGCTGCATGTGATCTACAAGTGGATGACAGTGTGTAAAGAACACTGAGTTCATGAATAGTATTATTAATAATTTACAGAGTAAAAAATGATAATTTTTATCCTCTCTTCTACAGAAGCTAAAGACTAAGTTATATATAAAAATTTATCTAACTGTACAAATGCTAGGTTGTGCATGTTAGTTGAAGTTCTATGATTTAGTTTTATTTAGGTTGTGCATGTTAGTTAGTTGAAGTTCTATGATTTAGTTTTATGTTCTTGCTGCTATGGCATCTTCAGCGAGACTGCAGCTGGCCGCCTGGAAGCTTGCATTGCTTGTTTTATTTCTCTCTTGCGTGTCCCTCTTTATGATAGTGTTGTTTTTTAATCTCATTACCACCTCCTGTCTTACCTTTCAGGGTTCCGATCCTACAGCTTTTTCTGTACTTACACAAGCTATTACTGGCCAAGTGGGTTTTGTGGATGCTGAATTCTGTACAACTTGTGGGGGAAAGGGAGCAGGCAAAAGATGTTCAGTATGTAAAATGGTAAGAATCCATAAATAGTTATAATGAATCACAAAAAATAGTGCCACTGAGGTGCTGAGGATTTTGAATGCTTGACCATTTACTGTGTAGACTTACGAGGAATGGCGTGTATGCCTACACTGAAAACGTGCAAGCCATCTACTTCTGGGAGAAATGCCTGAAATTCACAAGTAGGAGTACTTGGATTTCCAAGTGTGTATGTTTAAGAATTAAGAAAGAGTAAAATTTCTGTATGTTTAGAGTTAACAAAACAAACTATTCTTTGTAGAGTTTTATATAGGTTAGAATCACTCCATATGACCTTACAAATTGCTTAAAAATACCATTAAGTAATATACATAGAGAGATTTAACTTGGTACACTAAGAAATACAAGAATATCGTGTATCTTTTTAGTATGTAAAGATGAATTGATAGCTCTGGTAACTTTCAGGTGATGTACTGCGACCAGAACTGCCAGAAAATACACTGGTTTACCCACAAAAAAGTCTGCAAGACCCTGAAGGAAATTCATGAGAAACAAGAACTAGAGGCTGCCAAAGAAAAAAGGAAACAAGAAAAAAAGCAAAAGAAAGGTTAGGATCTATAGTTTGCTTGCTGAAACTAATGCTGCATTAACTGCACCACAAGGAACAATAGTAACAGGTCTTAAAATCTGTAACAGCTGAGGTTGAAAGAAAAATCTTTTTTGTAACATAACAGCATACCTGCGTTTGTTGGAATTCTAGTCTTTCAATTTACAAATGCCATGTACTTTCTAAAATCTGGTTTTTAATGCTAGAGTTACACAGGTTTCTACAACTAAAGCATTCTGAATTACACTGCACTGTTTCAAAATCCAAATCTTTAATCAAAATCACGCAGAAATGTCATGCTACTCTACCTTTCGTTGGAGGTGTTAGGACAAGTTGGATAAAAGAAAGCAGCCCACTCCCTCCGGATGCAAAGGTTAATGTAGATGTTAATTCACCTTTAATACTTTCTTCTTCATAACCACAGTATCAAGTTGTGTTGTGTACTTTGAATGTGAAGAAAGCATTACTCTTTAAACTGTTAATGGTGGTTTTTTTCTTTAATAAGCAAATAATTAATACAGTGTTTTTTCTGTCACTATGTATCACACACCCCCACCCTTAACTTACTCTGATACAATGTTTCTCTAAGTGAAATAATAGGAAAATCACTTTTTCTCTTTTACAACGTTAGATTCCCCTTCCCCTGTTTTAAGGATTGTAGAAATGCACTGGACAAATCACACTTTTCTTATAATGGTAGTATTCTTCACTTCAGCTGGACTGTAAAAACTATAGCAGGATATAAATTAGTAATAAATTAGTAATTATTGAAGTTTCCAACAGCTTCCTGTGATGATCCCGTTACAAGAGTTGCTGTTGCATGGGATCAAGATGACTATGGAAGTTGGAGGCAAGGATACTAGAAATCCCTGAATATATTGCATACCAATACAGCAAAACATAATGAGCTGTGAGCAGTGTGATGCCTCACACTGGTGACAAATACACATGCTTGCAGGTTCATATTAACTGAACAAGTCCGTGGCCAGGTGCTGTCCTCTTCGGAGGCAGACAGGATCTTGGTGGATGGCTCTTCTCCCTCCCTTCCTAAAAAGGGAAGCTAACATGTTTTGACATGTTACTGCTGTACTATCTACATGTTAATCTTCACTAACTTCTTCAGCTACATGGCCAACACCTATAGACCTTATCAGATTATGCATTGTTAGCAAGACAGTGAATTCATCCTAGCTTCAAGTCACCTTGTGAATGGTGTTGTATCAAAGCTCTTCTTACCAACAGCAGTTTTACTTCAAAAAGCTAATGATACGCCCTACAAATCCTATACATCGGGGCGGGGGCGGGGGGGGGCTACCCCAGCCGCA